GGATACAAAGTTAATTTAACATTCCCCCCCCAAAAAATGAATGTAATTAATCATATTAAGAGTCTTTGAAAAATGATCTCAATAGTTACAGAAAAAAGCAACTGACAAAATACAATACCCATTCTTCATTTAAAAAAAACAAAGAAAAAACGAAAAAACCGTTTCAGCAAAGATGGAATAGAATGGAACTTCCTAAAACCCTTTCAGCAAAGATGGAATAGAATGGAACTTCCTAAACCTGATAAAGAGCTTCTACAAAAAATATACAACTAACATCATAAATCATAATGCTGAAGATATGAATGCTTTTCCCTAAGCTCAGGAACAAGGCAAGACATTTGCTCTCATCACTTCTACACAACACCGCGTGGAGATTCTAGCCAGCGCACTATAGCAAGAAAAATAAGACATCCTCATTGAAAGGAAGAAGTAAAACTGTCTTTATTCACAGATAACATGATCACGTAAAGAATCTGATGGTACCCACAAAAAAGCTATTAGAACTAATAAGTCAGTTAGCAAGATGGCAGGATATATGATCAATATACAAGCAGCAACAAACAACTGAAAGTTGAAATCTAAGAAGACAATACTGTTTACAATAGCGTCAAAAAATGTGAAATACCTACAGATAACCTGACAAAGACCCATCTACTGAAAGCTAAAAGACACTGCTGAGAGAAATTAAGGAAGACCTAAATAAATGAACAGATATACTGTGTCCATGGGTCAGAAAACTCAATATTTAAGAAGTCAATTCTCTCCCCAAACTAATGTATAAATTAAATGAAGTTCCAATTCAAATCTCAACAGGGCTTTATTTTGAATCTGACAAAATGACTGTAAAATGGAAATGTAACAGATGCAGAATAACCAATATAACTTTTAAAAAGAACAAAGTTGAAGGACTTATACTACCTGATTTTAATACTTATTGCAAAACTACAGTCATCAAAACTAAGTGGTACTAGCATTAAAACAGACAAAGAAATCAATGGAACAAAATAAAACATCCAAAAATGGGCCCACATATACACATGGTAAATTGATTCTGATCAAAGGTACAAAGACAATTCAATGGAGAAAGGATAGATTTTTTAGCAAATGGTGCTGGAACAACTGATACCATATGAAAAAAATAAACTTTGTCCACATCTGGTCCTACAGGTTAACATGAAATGGATCCTGGATTTAATGTAAAATAAAAAACAATAAAGCTTCTTAAAAGAAAAATGGGAGAAAATATTTGAGATCTCAGGCTAGGCATGATTTCTAAGATACCAAAACCATGGTCCATAAAGGAATAAATTGATAAAATTTACATTATCAAAATTGCAAATTGATAAATTAGACTTCAGCAAAATTAAGAACTCTGCTTTTCAAAAGACACTGCTATGAAAATATAAGCCATGAAATGGGATAAAATATTTGCAAATCACAGCTGTGATAAAGAACTTATTAATGAGAATATATATAAAAACCTCTTGGGCTTCCCTGGTGGTGCAGTGGTTGAGAGTCCGCCTGCCGATGCAGTGGACACGGGTTTGTGCCCCAGTCCGGGAAGATCCCACATGCTGCGGAGCAGCTAGGCCCGTGGGCCATGGCCGCTGAGCCTGCGCGTCCGGAGCCTGTGCTCCGCAACGGGCGAGGCCACAACAGTGAAAGGCCCGCATACCGCAAAAAAGCAACAACAAAAAAAACTTCTTGAAAGTCAGTAAGGAAACAAACAGCCCATTTTTAAAAAGTGGACAAAAGAAATAAACACTTCAGCCAAGAAGATATATGAAATACATACAAGGAAATAAGCAACATGATAAGAAGTTTGAAATTATTAGTCATTAGGGAAGTGCACAATAGAACCCCATGAGAGGATTCCACATTATTAAAATAGCTAAAATTTAAAAGAGTGATCACACCAGTTGAAGCAACTGGAATCACTTTGAAATACGGTTTGGCTGTTTCTTAAGTTAAGTATACACCTACCATGTGAACTAGCTTTTCCACTTTTAAGTATTTAACTAACAGAAATGAAGGCTGTACAAAGACATTTATACAAATACGGATACTGGCTTTATTTGTAGTAGCCAAAAAGCAGCAAATAATCCAAATGTCCATCAATGGGTTAGTGGATAAACTAAATATGGTATAGTTGTACTCAGAAAAAAAAAAAAAAACTACGTATGCACACATAACCTGGATAAACTCAAGAGGATTATGCTAAGGAAAAGCCACCGCACACTAAAGATACATATTGTATGACCCCACAGATAAAATCCTAAAAGAGTTTAAATAGTGACAGAAACAACTCACTGGTTCTTGGAGGGATTAGAAAGGGGCATGAGCAATCTTTGGGGGTATTAGAAATGTTCTTTATCTTGATTGTAATGATGGTTTCATGGATAAATACATACGTTGAAACTTCTCAAATTAGACACTTTATATATGTACAGTTTACTGTATGTCACATATACCTCAATAAAGCTGTTGAAAAATATCCTAGTGGGGAATGCCTTTTCTTTCCTGTGGTACCTTGACTGCTACATCCTTTCTTCATCCCCTACATTCAATCAGTAATTAATTCCTAACCATTCTATTCTAATCTCTCTCCTCTAGTCACATAGCTACTACACTAACCCGTCTCTCACCTGCATTATAATAGCCTCTCTCCAATCTTCACCACTCCAATTCATTCTCCACCCTGCAGCCAGAATTAACTTTCTAAAACACAAATCTGACAGTGTCACTTCAATAGTTGCTGCTTGCTCTGGAGATGCATTTCAAACTCCCTTAACCTGATTCACCTGACCTTCCCTGATCTGGGCTTTTCACTCTCCCGAACCTCCTTTCTGGTGATTTCCCCTTACCCTTTCCAGTCCGCCCATACTAATCAACAATGCACCAGACTTGCATAGCTTTGCCCATGCTGTTCCAAGTCAGATAATCCCCTTTCCTCTGTCTTTCTCCAACCCAATCACACCGATGCTTTGCAACTCAACTTGGGTATTATCTCCTCTGAGAAGTTTTCAATAAAAGCCTATATTGGGCCATTTGGACTTCTCTCAACTCCTGAGAATCTTTTTTTTTTTTAATTTTTATTGGAGTATACTTGATTTACAACGTTATGTTAGTTTCAAGTGTACAGCAAAGTGAATCAGTTCTACATATACATCTATCCACTCTTTTTTTAGATTCTTTTCCCATACAGCCCATTAGAGAGGAGAATCTTCTTCTACCTTGCTACAGCACTAAGCTCACTATCATATAATCTCCCTTGCCAGACTAGACAGAAGCAGACTGGATGAAAGCTTGAAAGCAAAGACCAAGTCTTGTTCATCCTTGCTTTCCCAGAGCCTACCACAATGCCAGGCCAAGAACACATTCCCAAATTAGTGAACAAACAAATGAACACAAGAGCTGGTTTGGATGACCGCCTCTTACATCAGCTGGGTTGACTCTAAATTCCACCTTATAAAAATATGCACAGGTAAGAGGTTGAATAATCTCTGTAGTACATTCTGGTAAAATAATTATTTCAAATACTTTGCGTGGTGGGGGGGTCCCACTCCAGCTGTGAGCTTAAGGGCAAGATTCACTACCTCAAACTGTTTTCAGAACCAGCTGGTAATTGACTGTGATTTGAACCAAGTGAAAGGTTAGGGAAAGAGAACCAGATTCCAGGAAAAGACAAGGCCCACAGTAAAAATTAACACAGCCTGGAAGAAGGCTCAGTCTCCTCCCAGTAAACTTCTTAATTTCATCCAGAAAGACACAGATCTCCACCCTCTGGGTTACTCCTTTCTCCCAATACACATGTTTTGACTTCCAAATCCAGCAGGGAGGCTCCCAACCTCCCTCCCCCTCAAAATCAATCTCCAGGCCCTTCTCACCCTCTCTGTTCCCTCAATCATCCTTAATAAGAGTTATTGGAGCCTCCCACCAGGAGGCCCTCCTCAGCTGGCTCCCTCCAAGAGCCAGGCCAGTGGCCACCAAGTCAAAAGCCAACCACAGGACCTCATTAACAGGAGATTCCCAGAAGACCACGAGGCAGTCAAAAGGCTGGAAGACCCAGCTGGCAACTTAAAAAGTACGATTTCAGGATATGCAGTCGGTGGATCATAGGAAAGAGGGGAAAAGCAAGCAAAACAAAACAAAGCGAATTCTACCATCTATATACCAGTTACAAACTAAGAGAAGGCTTGCCTTCTTTCTTACTGACTTGTGGTTCAAAAGCATAATCACTCTCTCCCTCCTGATATCCTATTTTAAAAAGTAACCTAATAATGACTGCTCTTCCCTATCTTGGAAATGACTTGACTTTTTAATTTAGAGACGAAATTAGTTAAGACATGAGAAGTGCTTTAGTGGAAAATAGCCAATGGTTAGGGAAATTCACCATTTTGCATCTTGTTCATCTTAAAAAGAAAGGACTTTAATAAAAATAGAAAGACACTCCTAGGCCTTTCCTACCCAGGATAACTGTAGCCAAAGAACATTATACCGTCTACACTAAATTGCACCTCAAACATTACCATAAGCTGCTGAAAGCTACAAGCAGCACTGGCCTTAAAATGCCTTAGGTAGCCAGACTGGAATTAAAAGGTTCAAAAATGCCGGGGGAAATGTCCTAAAATACGGTGGGAAGGGGGGAGAGAGAAAATTAACATAGTTAACTGGATAGTGATGACAGGGGACCCCGGGTTCCAGACATCTCCTAGGCAGCGTTGGGGATGCAGTAATGGCCCACCCTTCTCTTGAGTGGCCGTACGCCTCACCCAGGAGCGGACACAGTGGACTCAACAAGGTCTCAGGGGCCAACGCACTGCTGGCGTTGGCGTTAAGACTCAGGCGGCCAGACGAGGAAGAGGAGGCAGCGACTGCGGGAAAGGGGAGGGAGGCTTGGGCCCGGGTGCGCTCTCGAGCTGTAGAACGTGCGCGCTGCGAGCCTGCGCTTTTGCTAAAGCCCCTGATACACACGTGGGACTGGGCAGAGGGTCACTTACTTGTCCAATCTGAAATTACATTTTAGCTAGCGCGGCCCTGCCGATACCCGCGCGGAGCCGCACCAAGCCTCGGTTGGGCGGTCCGACCCGCCCTCCGCTCGGCCCCGCCCCCGCCCCCGCCGGCCACGGCCCCTATAAAACTCGCCCCGATTGGCCCTTTGAACGGGACCCGGGATTGGTCCGCTCCTGCGCCCTGCCGTGGCCCCCTGCGGCGGTCGCCTGTCGGTTGGAGTGGACTGCATCCTCTTCCGGTTTCTTCCCGCCTCCCCGAGTTTTTTTTTTTTTTTTTTTTTTTTGCGGTACGCGGGCCTCTCACTGTTCTGGCCTCTCCCGTTGCGGAGCACAGGCTCCAGACGCACAGGCTCAGTGGCCATGGCTCACAGGCCTAACCGCTCCGCGGCATGTGGGATCTTCTCGGACCAGGGCACGAACCCGTATCCCTTGCATCGGCAGGCGGACTCTCAACCACTGCGCCACCAGGGAAGGTCTCCCCCGACTTTTTAAAGGCCTGAAGTGGGTTCTGTCCTCTCAGGCCGAGAGTTTCCTAGTCTGGGGGCTCTTCTCGCAGAACTCACCCACGCAGACTCCCCTCAGCCGCTGTTGGGTACGTGTCGGACGTGTATCCTGTAACTTCGCTTCTCAACCATGCACTGAACACCAAGACTCCTGCAGACAGGTGTTAAAATAAAGAAATTAATAATAATAATATTTATTGAATGCTTACTTTGTGTGAGGTCTTGTTCCCGAGATACTTTACGAAAATGTTCTCAACTAATTTTTTGAACAACCTTCTGAAAAGGTGTCAGTTTGTAAATGTACAAAACAAATGAACCCCAGCCTCTAAGGAAGTTACAGTCTGGTGGGTCCTGGACACACCTATGTCATTTAATCTTCATGATTCTTACCTTTCCAGTTAGGTGGGTACTATTTGTCCATAGTTTACAGATGCAAAGAGTAGGAAACGTTTTTTAGCTTGTTTTGAGACTCACAATAAGTAACAGGAGGGAAGATTCCAACCTGAGCTCAAACATAAGCCACATCTATTAAAAAGGCAGGCTCCCAAGCTGATGGGACTGAGATTTGGAAGATAGTTTAAGTAGTCTAAACTCTTTATTTTCCTAGAAAAGGAGACTGAGGTGCAGTAAAAGGAAGTGATTTTCGAAGGACACACTGGTCATGAGAGGTAAGCCTCGGTAATAACTGATTTCACAGAACTGGAGTATGGGCCATGTGCATGATAGTCACTCTGCTATCCTCATAACGACTCCAAATACATGCTCTCATCTTGGTCTTACAGGCGAGGATAGTAGCTCAGTGGGGCTGAGGCCACGTGATTAGCTGCATCTGCTAGGGGCCCTGGTTTGGGGATGCCGGAGGAAGAAATTTTCCTCTATCCTTCTAGGTTCTTCTGGCTGGTCTAAGAATTAAATTGACATGAACGGGAGAAAATCAGATGAAAGTTTAATAACGTGTACATGGGAGAGACCCAGCAAAACTGAGTAACTCTGTAAAGACATCTTACACTAAAGACAAAAAAAGGATGTAGGGGGTAATGGTTTATGTCTTCAAAAGGGAGGAAGGCAGTTTACATGAAGATGGAAAAGCAAATGCTTGGGAAACAAATGTTTCCTGGGTGTGCTAAGACAGTGGGACACAGGAATTAAAAAAAAACAAACAAAAAACCTTCCTAGATTACTCTCGGTCTACCATACCTAGTTCATACTATAGTACAATGAGAGCTGTCTTCCTGGAAGAGGTCCTCTGTCTACATTCTTTAGGCAGCTAAGGAGGACATCCGAGTTTCTTCCTGAGTCTTTTTGGGCCTTGATTGTTTTCAGCTGTAAATAATTCACATGCCAAAGAGACATTTTGGGGTGGCAAGTTTTGTTCCCGTACAGGGTCATTTTCTTTCTTCTACACCATGACTGTTCACCTTCATTTCCAACAAATATCCGGAGATCTAACCATGGACTCTTTGGGAATGTAGGAGGTACTAGGATCTGGTTACCTGGCACCTGTGTGAATCATCATGTACAACAGGAATGATAATATTAAGCCCTCTTCATCTTACTTTTCCAGAGTATTGTGATGAGTAAATGAGGTAACAAATATGGAAATACTTTGTAAAGTGTTAGATGCTGAATATGTGTAAGACAGCTTCCAGACCCTCCTCATTGTACCTCAGGAATAGAATAAATGAAATATACTGGTTGCCTTAGGAACTATGGCAGGAGGTCTCATCTTGGCTAAACTTGAATTAATATGGATTTGCTTCCTGGTCTTTATAGATATCTCTGTTACTAGGCATTTTGTATTTGATCTGAGGTTTGTTTCTTCTTATCATCATGCTATCATTAGTGGTAGCACAGTGGCTGGAGCACCAGCAGCCATCTTGGACCATGAGAGGATTTCAGGAATGAAAGCTACATACAGCAAATCCCCAGGGTGCAAGGGCTTAAGTTTCTGACACCATGCAGCACCAGACAAACACCCACTGCCCACTTCTACTTGTAAGAAAGAAGCTGCTCTCTTGTGCAAGACACTTTAATTTTGTGTTTTCTGTCCATGGGGCCAAACCTAATCATAACTGATACATATACCTTACCTCGCAGAAATCCTACAGCAACTCTATAAGGTGATAGGTGCAGAAACAGACCCAGAGAGTATAAATGATTTTTTCGGTGTCATCCAGCCAAGTGAGAGAGGCGTAATTTTGTGGCCCATTCTCATTTTCTTTTAAATGGAAAGAAAATGCCTATTGTGAATGAATGAATCTATTTTTTTCCCATTTACTTCCATTCTATTCATTTATTCTAGGAGGTGATAAACTTTTTCTATAAAGGACCAAACAGTAAATATTTTAGACTTTGTGAGTCATACAGTTTCTGTTGCAGCTACTCAAGTCTGCCTTTGTAGGGCAAAGCAATCATAGACAAAAGTAAACGAGAGGCTATGACTGTGTTTCGATACAACCTTACAAAAGCATACAATGGCCAGTGTGCCCCAGTGGGCCTTAGCTCGCCAACCTCTGATTTATTAGATTCTGATGTCCCATCACAAAAGTGCATTGGAAATACATTACAGAGGGTAGGGGGATTGTGACTTTGCAGGCACCCTCACACAGTTGACCAATATAAAGTCCAGTGTGTGACGGTGAGGTCCAGTAGAAAGAAAGATCCCTAAACTGATAATCATGAGATCTGAGCACTCAGTTCATATCTGCCCTGAAACAGGATCTATATCCTGAACCAACCCCAGGTGCCTCAGTTCCCTATATGTTAGGAGCAAATAATGCAAATATCATCCCTACTTTCCATAGTTTCCATGGCTACAGGGAGACTGAGATGACATGATATACAGACCATATTTTGAAAGCTATAAATGTTATTCAACTGTGTGTTCACTGCTTCACCTTAGGCAGGGCCATATAGCCTCCTCTGTATCCTTCAGCCCCCTCTCCTTACCTCCATCACGGAACTCCTAGAACGTATCAAATGCCTAGTAGTTATTAGTGAATCCGTTTATCCCCACTCCTCGTCCTTAACTTGATATAAAGGGTTATTGTGTTGCATTGGATTAAAAGACTCAATTATTGGAAAGTCTAGATGCCCACTCAAGGTCGCTGCCGGGCAGCGTGGGTGTCATGCGGTCATTGTCCAGTAGACAGGTCACAAGTCACACCCGTGAAGCAGCACATCAGGCTTAAACGAGACAGAAAGAGCTAGGTTGTGAAAGCCTGGAACCAGCTGAACTGGACGTTTGTGTCACTTCCTTCCTGCTCACAGACTGTTTCATGAAACACCAGGAGGCAGACAGGAGTCCTGGCCTTCTCCCTGGTGACCTGTGGAGGCCTTCTGCTACTCTGACTGCATTCTCTGAATGCTTTTCCTACATTAACAACTTGCCCCTCTCCAGAGAAAAGACTTACTTTCCCCGAGACTCTTAGAGTCATGGCACAGAAATAGGTGTGGTTATTCATTTACTCATGAATTCATTTATTCATTCAGATATTTATGTATTCACTCACTTAAAGATTTATTGAGTGCCTACTGTTCTATAAAGAGATGGTGTTGAGAAAAACAGATATTGTCCGTGTCATCGTGGAACTGACAGTCACGAAACTGACATTCAGTAAATAAGCATGCAGGTATATATATGTGTGTGTGTGTGTATGTGTGTGTGTGTGTGTGTGTGTGTGTGTGTGTATAAAGTACAGAGAGGTTAAGCATATATCAATATATCTATATATCTATATGGATTCAGTTGCAAGTAGGAAGAGACATAGGATCTTATGAGAGAGGGGACATGATTTAGACTGAGGTCTAACTGAGATGGGTGATTCTGAGGAACCAGGTGCATTACATGCATTGAAGACCTAAGGGTCTTCAGTAACCTTGTTAAGTGACTACTATCACAACCATTGTACAGATAGGGAAACTGAGGCTTAGGAAGATTAGGTAACTGGCCTAAGGCTGCACTGTTACTAAGTGTGGAGCAGGCTGGGCTCTTTCCCGTACTCCACAATGCACAACACAAACCCAGAGGGTGTGAATTTTCCCAGCTCCCACCTTTGCACACACTATGCCTCCTTCCACCGGGAAAGCCTCCCCCGCCATCCTTCTCTTGTTGGATTCATAGTCTGCCTTCAGCGTCTAGTTGAGGGCCTACTTTCTCAGCAAAGTTCCCTCTTCTATCTGAGGCCTCAGCACATCTCGTATTATAAGCTTCTGCAACAATCATCGTGTATTACTCATGCGGCACCGGCCCTGAGACACCTTGTAAAGTTCATTTTCCTTTTTACATGCCTGCACTGGTGGCCTTGCTCCCAGTCCTGTGGGCAGCACGAAGTCATGAGAGCAGACAGACCTGGATTCTTCTCCTAGTTCCTACTTGTTTGCTGAGTGACCTGGAGAACGTTGCTTAACCTCTCTGTAGTTTCCTTGGAGAAAAGTAATATTTATTTCTTGAGATAGATCTTAAAACATGTGTCCCAGGGCTGAACAGATAGTAAGTGTTCCACACTTCTTAGGCTTCTACCCAATTCCATTCCCTAGATCAGAAAGCCTCTGGAGGGTAAGAACCATGCCTTCTACTTTATAATCTCGGCAACTAGCACAGTGCTCTGTAATAGTGGGTATATCATTGGCACATAATTATGGCGGTGACAGCCTTTACCTTGCTCCTAATCCAACTTGTTTTCTCCTGTCTTTCTTCCTTTCTTTCTTTCTCAACTTAGACTCCTTTAAGCCTCCCTTAAACTTGATCCTCTGTCAGAAACAGGTGCCACTGCATACACTCTCTCTTCCAAATCCACACTGTCTTCTCAGGAGGAAAATAACTGAAATAGTTCACTGGAGACCCAACAGATGGTCAGTAAGGGAAAACCACTGACCAGAAAGGCTGCCAAGCTCCCCATCCTGGCCACCACCTAGAGCCATATTTTGTATGCAAAATCATTAGTTTATTCAACTCTCTTCTCTAAAGGATGCCAGTAGCTCATTTCCAAAGATGGGGGAATGTTCCAACTTACTTTATTACTTGCCCTCTGTCTGCCTGCCTGCCTGCCTTCCTTCATCTCTTCAGTTAACAAACATGTACTGAGTACTTGCTAAGTGCTGGGCCAGAGCTGGCTGCTATACTAAAAGCACAGAGAAAGAGCTAGGGGCAACCCATGGTGAGAAGAAGAGGGGGTATTGGGTACCAATAGAAAGGAAAGACTGCGCTAACGTTTACTAGGCACTGGCTCTGCACTTCCACATGCAGTGTCACAGTGATTGCTCCCAGCCATGCACCTGAGGGAGTAGGGATTCCTGCTGCAGGAATGAAGGCTCAGAAAGGCAGAGCAACTTGCCGGAAGTCATCTACCAAAAGACGCCACAGGCCAAAACGAAGAGGCAGCTTCTGCTGAGAAGCTAAAGTGGGCAGAGATGCTCATGTTGGATATAAGGCTTCGGATGAATGCAAGTCCTAATAATCTCACTGGTTTCACCCTGCAACACCAGCTTTGTCTTCCATATGTGAGCTGCTCTCCCATTCCCCAGTTCCCAAACCTCACCATCCTAACCAGTTCCACACCACGTACATCCTTCTCCACTAACGCTGCCTAGTTTCAACCCCACAGCCTCTTGGCCATGAGTCATTTCAACAAAAGTGCAAACTATGTGATGAGCCATGACAACAATG